GACGTCATCTGTTTCATAACGTTGCGCAAAGATGCCCTGGAAACCAGCAACTATGTCGGCAGCTGGCTTGCAAGCGACTCGTCACCATCCGAGGGAACATCATCAGACAAGGCGAACTGAGTGTTTTTCGCATGGCGACGAATCGACGAACNAGAAAGTTTCTTTGATTGCATGTCTGCTCAAAACCATGCGTATGTATGTGTCTGTAGCCCACCCTTTTTGGCTTCTCGAAGTTTATGGCCCATGACGTCATCTGTTTCATAACGTTGCGCAAAGATGCCCTGGAAACCAGCAACTATGTCGGCAGCTGGCTTGCAAGCGACTCGTCACCATCCGAGGGAACATCATCAGACAAGGCGAACTGAGTGTTTTTCGCATGGCGACGAATCGACGAACTCAAGTGATAAACTCGGCGAAAAGATCAACTGCTATATGATCAACGGTCATGCACTGGACTCGTGTTGCTCTCTCGTTTTAGAGCTAATCAAAAATGCATATATTTAGCACTGATCACCGGATATCTACTGTATGACGCGAGCTAGAGTAGGCGCTTGCCTGTCCCGGAGGGTTTTCGGTAACACGCTCGACTCTTAGATGTCTGGGGTTTACGATTCGGCATGATTAGTGACGTGGATTGCTGGTTTGCAGCAACAAAAGTTAATATTGATTCCAGGGGTTTCACACTTTGCCATGGACTATCCAGAATAAGTATCAGGACAGAATAGGGAATGTTCAGATGAGAGTGATGTGAATGTGGCAAACACTCTTTATCCAAAGGGTGGTCGCTAGTGTACATTCAGACCATTGATTCCGTTTTTCATGATTTCGTTTTCCGTCCAGTCTGTAAAGATCGAATTTCGGCCTGTATACCCTAATGACGAAAGGATAGGTTTCTGTCATCCCTCCGTCACCACTATTTGAAACACCACACTCTGAGCGACTATAACACGGCAAACACTCTGACCATGTGAGATAACTTTCCGAGTCTGAAAACAAAACGGAAAGTTACTACTTATGTTGAAAACTCTTCGGTTGAAAGCTCTACTAGTTTTGTCCTTCTTGGAGCTCATTAGGATAGCTTAGTCCCAAAATGCTCGTCAAACTCGTGTTCTAATTAGACCAGTGAATTACGTTGGTTTTAATTAGAGACTCCACCGAATCTCTGGCTTGTTATTCCTCAAATGAGTTAACTGCACATAGGCTGCCTTATTCTTTCATTTGGAGTGATATCTGACATCAGATATCTGACATCAAAATTACTTGAAATAACACATTACTCCAACTAAAGAGCACCATGAAAGAAAGGTAAATAGCGTAATTTGTAAGTAGGTGTATTTTGCCGTACTCTACTGCTTTTCATGTGAATTTTTTTTCGTTTGTTGATGGCAAACTCTTTGCAATGTATTGGCGTTTTCACTATGTACATCTCGTTAGAAACCGCATCAAATAAGCTTTACTGTGATATTTATGTGACAGTCTCTTCCTCCTCAAAGCCATGACCCCAGATAATGACATTTTTTCTAATGTCGTCCAATCTCATGGCTTTAAAAAGCCGCCGCTTTAGTGACCACAACTTCCCTTGCTTATTTTGCTGTTTCTTCTGACCTTATATTCAGCGGTTGACTCTGTGTCACGCATGTGTAACTTGACACTTGGTGTGAACACGTGGTATTCAGGAGTGTCTAAAACATGCACGTATTCTGAGGTGCGCAGACTAGAAATTTTGTTTCGGTATCTTTATGATCTCTGATTGGATAAATGTTCTCCTAATAATGAGTACCGAAACGGGTAAGCGGGTTTCGAGACGTTCACCCCACGGACTGCTGAAAAAGTCAATTACTTTGCTGCTAGCAAAGCACCAATGCCATTGATGTCAGAGTACTCGGATCTGTTAATCCTTACCAGACCACTCGTGCAACGGACGCTCTTGTGTTCAACTGTGCCTATCCTAAGGTGTGGGGCTGGATCCTAGTCAATTGATTATGCATAGTGAAGGTGCCAAACGCATCTTGATCACCTGACGTCAATGCGTGGGTAAATATGCATACAGGCTATAGTCACATCTTTGTGGTGAAATAAATAAGCTTTCTCACAGCAATGAATGGTTTCATTGTTGGTGATGATGTTTAGAACAGGTGTTTTGACCTCGGTTAATCTAGCACTGAACGCTTGTAACGTAGACCTCTCAAAGCGTCTTACTCGGATGGACCTATTTTTCATGAAGAATCCATTGGCTCTCTCTTGTTCGTACATGTCTTTTAAAACGTAGATTGATGACTGTTTTGTTATCGGAGCCATACGACTTCTTTGATACTGATAGGAGTGTACCTGTGTGTAGTGTTTTGGCCGTGAGTCGGTACGTACCACGTGTGGTCTAATCTATTGCTGTGTGCCGGCAGAAAACTTGATCAGATGACTTTTCAACGTAGTCACCTGACGTCCTGAGAATAAGAAACGTATGCACAAGCCAAAGTGTAGCTTGCTTCAGAAATAGTCTCACGGTGACTGTGGCTAAATGGTGTTGTCGGAATACGCGACGGAAACATCGGTATGGAGCGTTTCATCACTGAAGGAGCCTAGGCTCTGTGCGGTTCGAAGATAGACTTGCCCAATAAATTATACGCTAAGTAGAAAACCAATTGGATCGTGCATGTAGAAAGGTGATATGTCTCTCAAGGAAGCAGGAGTAAGATGGCACAAACGAGAGAAACGTGTGATCTTTAATTGTCTGAACACNGCAACACCGGACACGACGCACAAAACACGTTTTGAGGTGAGAATCCACTGAAATGCGGACGGTGAAGAAAGTACATTCAACAAGATCATGACGGTTCATGCACCTAAGTACTCTGGTTGTTTCCTCAGCACCTTCATTGGTTCCATTGGTTCCATTGGTTCAATAAAAACCGAATTTCAAGCCCATTATTCTTGAAAAATCCCGACACATAAAAGGTGGTCCATAATTCGAGTGTGAATTTATTGCATGCATACCCAAATCCGATGATCGAATGAGTCATAGTCCTAGGTGAAAGCGATCCCGTGTCGATGGTTAATTCAGCCTTCTAGCTTGGAATCATTCATTCGTTTAAGGTCGTTTCTTAACTCCACACCATACATCAATGCCACACTAAAAACGAAGTTTCCAAATGAAGAGGTAAGGCTACTGGTCCCTCCATCCAGTTGATATCTGCAATCCGTAGCACTGGTTGCCTTAGGGGAAGACCAGCTCATTAGTAAGTTGACCGTGGTGGATATCTAGAACTGCCTCAGCAATTTTATTCGGTTTAAAGTTCAATAACTACTATACAGAGTTGCTGTATTCTGAATGGTGCGGGTTTATCGATGTCCCAGTGATAAAACTCACTCTACACCCCAAAGCAATTAGAAGTGAATGGAAAGCAAGCGCTTTGGTACCAATTCCTATGCCGTTAGCCATTGTTACTCCCGGGGAGTGTTGTCGTTTCCATTCGGATTCGAAGGCCTCCACCGAATTGATTTGGACACATCTATCTAGTGAGTGGTTCGCTCTCTCAGTCCACTGATGTAGTAGCTACTTTGGATGAAGTGACGCGGGGGGGGGAAGGGGTTTGCACGAACTGATCACCAGCTGGGTTAGACTAATGGTTTAAGAAATATACGTCAATGCAGTTTGGCAGACGGACGATTATTTTATTGGCGCTTCTAAATTTCATGAAACAAAGACATGTGTTCCGGTTCATTCCTTCTTGGTGGCTTAGCTGGTTTGTTTGGTCGTATGCTTCTTAGTTTTTACGAGCTTGGCCCAAAATGACCGCCCATCTTGTATGGGTAAATTCCTTTCGACTAATTTGCATTTTCGAGTTGGTTTTGTCTCTCTCTCTTTTCCACCTATCCTTTGGAACAACAAACCGTAGATGTTCTCAGTCATGTATCTCTTATGATGTGAAGGAACTCTGCTCTTGAAAACACTGCGGGAAAGGTCACTTGAGGTGAATGATTAGTATAAGCCTTGTGTGCGACGATCATCCCTGAATGGTGTTCTCCTCTGCGGGATGTCCGAGCCTAGGAGTAGCCTGTCCATAGTGGAACAGGTTGAAATTCTCGTTACATACAGCAAAACAGCGGACACTGCACACACTGTATGTGCATACGGTAATCAGACTGCCGAGGTGACGTTAAGAAGAGACCACAAGCCCATGAATGATTGATTGAAGCCACCTTCAACGTTTAGTTTCTTGATGTAGAAGACTGATTGCCAAATGTGCACCAACATCCCTTGTTCGCTCAACTCCAGAGGAAAAAAACGACTCAGAGTTTCTCATGAAGAGAATTCTGCTCGCTTTTTGCATCTGTACTTCAAGGATAAGTCGCCACTCAACAAATTCAGCCATCTGTTTGGCTTTCATGCGCTAATTAGAATAGAGGCAATCAGACTACCAGAAACAAAAGACACCACAAATTTCCTCGGAATGGGCGACCTGTATCCGACAGTATGTTGCCACAAAATACTGACTGATAATTAGTCACAGCTCATCAAGTTTCTCCGTTTAGTCTTTAAGCCGTTCAGGTGATTCAAGCAGGTTTCTTCCATCCCGCTGCTGAGTCATTGTTCTCTACGTGAATGTGGTAAGTTCCGAAATCAGCTAGCATGGGACTGCAATGCGAAAACTGACAGCGGATGGCGGTAGTTGTAAATGCCACACCCAACAACTGTGGCGTTGCTAGTACAACCAAAACATCCTATTTCATGGTCGACGTTTTTCAAGTAAATCCAAACGTATTTGGGATAGCTGTGAAACACGGCCATTCACCTTAAATCCGACAGAAGCCATGTGATTTCCGCGGGTAATGGATATACGGTTTTGGCTGTTATTCTTGGGTAGTGCTTGACGGAAAGATTAAATGACTGAAAGATTCCAAGGTTTGTATGTGCCTTAAACTCAGTAAGCTGTATACTTTCTTGACACACTTTATTTTTGTCATTTTCAAGTGACAGTAAAGTCATTTTCTATTTCTTCTAGGCAAACTTCACCAACGGAACATGCCTCATCTATTATACAAGTGGGAGATCTGCCGGTGATGATACAGCGCTCACGAACGACGAGGGTTACTACAGAGTGACGGGATCTGTCATTTCAGAGAGGATCACAAAATACGAGTGAGTTGGACTTGAACCCACTGTGTTTTCCCTTTTGCCGCGAATCACAAACCAAGGTTACGATGTCCGCTAACATAATTGGTGGTTCACCAAACAGTGAACTGTTTACTCGCGAAAAGTTGTCTATAATTCATCCCACATTGTGAAAAAAAGGACGTGTACGGAAAAATGTTACCACTTCAATTCAAGATGAAGTGCATTACATATCCAGTTTTAATTGCGGGGTCGAAGAATCGATGGGAGTGCGCTGTCGTAGCAAACGGACGTAAAACGCTGAAGGGAATCACACACGTATGGCCAGGCAACTCGTACTGTACTATCCTTTCGAAGTATCCTCTGCTACAAAGTTTTTGCCTCTAAGGGTGACTTGTCATCAATAATACAGGCATGGCGTTTTTGATCTTGAAGATACTGACCCATACTGCAGATCCCGGCAATGCCTGGAGTACACGGTGCAGACTCAGCGCTGTTCGCTTGTCCGAACCTGCTCAAAAATCACTTCCTGCACCAGGCGGAAACAAGGAAATCAAGCTATTTCTGTTTCCATGTCGCAGCAAGTGGACAAATGAAGCTATAAACCATCGTGGAAGTTCCCTTATAGAAATGAACTTTTTTTCTTCCTCGTGGCCGGCAGCTACTACTACTACAGTGGATAGACTCAACGTAAATTGGGGCAAATCAAACTGAACCAACCAGCAAACAATCTTCAGAAAATGGACGGAAATCAACTCACTTTGAAATTGCTCTTAAGAAAGTTTATTATAATGTTTGGTCCACAATACACCGATGGCCGGCAGCACTACTACTACTACAGTGGATAGACTCAACGTAAATTGGGGCAAATCAAACTGAACCAACCAGCAAACAATCTTCAGAAAATGGACGGAAATCAACTCACTTTGAAATTGCTCTTAAGAAAGTTTATTATAATGTTTGGTCCACAATACACCGATGCCCAAAGAAGTAAATGTGATGGACAGTTCCTCACTGTCTACAGACTACTCATTCATTATGACTGAATTGGTGGCAAAGGTACTAACTGCCTAGAACTCTATGCCACGAATTCATACTAGTCATATTGTCAGATTGAAAGTAAGTGCCTAAAACCGACTATAACTTCCCTACTGTAGCGACCTGCATTACGAGAGACGGTCTTTTAAATAGCATCGCTTTTGATTGTTCTTTAAATCAAAGGGTAAAACCTTTCTCAAGGGCTGCCTGGTTACAGTAGTTCTCGTCGTTCGTTTCAGGTGGTCCGTTAGAAGAGGAGTGACTACAAGACATACATAGATGATGTTAACTTAGATGTAATGAGTAATAAGTGGGTAGCCCGTATTTACTTTATTTGGAGCTCTCGAAGGCTTCTCGGCATACCTACCATAGAATGTGTGCTCAGATATGACCTCCAGCTTGCCTAGTAGGCTACCCATTTACCCCGCCTAATGTCTGGTAAATATTCGTATTCTTTCTGTCTCCATTGTTTGTCCAACGTCCCACTTACCTGAGAACCTTCAGCGATTACCATATTGAGACCATATTGATCCCTTATTTTGTAGCTGCAGAACCTAATAGTTTCTGCAAGATGAACATCTATTATGCTATCCCAACAGCCTGTGTTCTATAACTTAGAGTACGTCGTGTCATTCTGAACCTAAAAGCCGTGGCCGACGGCACAACAGCTCTGTGGGATTCAGGTCATTATGCTTGGGCCGAATAATGAATTTGTCTTACTTAACTGCGTATTCATGCTACCCCATCTGGTTCTGCAAAACATCCTTGTGGTAATGATCAGGTTTTGGGTGGCTGATGAAACCATCTCAGTTATTGTAATGCATGACCATTCTCTTATAACCAGCCGTTTTTTTACAAAGCATTGCCTGTCTGCATCGTCCGCATGTTTCGTCCAGTGCCTGAGGTGATATAGCCCTACACGTTTCTACATGTTAGGTTTCAAGGACTAGTTACGGGCATTTATCAGTCAGCCTGAACTAGAATCCACGGATCTAGCTTAGTTGGAGTAACCAGCTTTCGGAAATTAATTTAGAACGCCATAAGTGGTTTTTCACAATATAGGTGCTTACACAGAGAGAGGTAAGTTCTCTATGACCTCAAGAATTGTCTGGATGGTATACTTTTCGAAAAAATCGTTGAGCAACCCGTACAAATACCATAAGATAATGGGAACCTTTTCAATAATCATATTTAACCTGTAGAAAGTTCTGTGTCTCATAAATTAGCGGTAATCGCGATTGGTATTCTTACATCCCCAATGACTATCAGTAAATATCAGAGTACCTGCAATGATAATCTATCAAAACAGACGTGATAATTAACTTGATGGGTAGGCAGCAACAAGGGGCTAAAAAACTACACTTTGCTTCGGTGGTGTTGCCATGACAACAGTATGTTTGTCTGTAAGTAGACGACCAAGAAACAGATGATTGCACCGGTCTACGATTTGTCTTTCTTCTGCCCTAATTTGCGCCAACCTGAGTGTATAATATAATAGAAAAGAAAGAACAAGGTATGTTTTATTGAGCGGTACGTCACGAGATGCAGTCCAAACTCAGGTACTCGAAAATGCATGCGCGATTAGAGGAACCGGTCCAAGGTTGACTGCGTGTGTACTATCTTGTGTGCTACGGCTGAAACTCGTGGAAAAAAAGTTACACACGAAACATGAGCTAGGGTATGCATGAATATGAACCGTATTCATTCATTTACAATGATGCTAGGCGCACGAAAATATATGGTAGTTGTACCTCAAATGCTCTCTCAGATTCTTGATAGCCTCAATACGTGTGTTTGTTCCGGAATTTGCTTGGTTTTTACACGCGCCCAGTCCAAATCTGACATACGTCTCAAGTGATTAACAACTGCTCTTTTGTTAGCATATAAGGTGGTTATCGGTTAGAAGCTGCATGGGACCCACTTGGTGATCATCATCTATCTGATTACTATGCTCTAGTAATGTATTATATAATACAATCGAAAATAGTCCAAACAAAGTGGGATAAACCCAGGATAATATAATAATTATTATTTGTGTGCTTTCTTCAATGTAGAGGTAGTTAGGTTTCATCATTTGAATGAAACGTTATAATACCAAGACGTGCCTGGCAATCTAGGTGCTTGTGCTGCGAAGCGCCGTGGCCTGTGAACTGGCGTATAAAACAGCAACCAGGCGGAATATCAGTTCATTGGTGTTTTGTAATAGCGAAGCACGTCAAAACCGTCTACACATGTCTGATGATATTCCACTTTATGTAGAACTGTCCCTTGGGAATGTGGTTTTGTGTGACAAAATGGCTGATGTGCAATGCTACATCATGGATCACAGTGATACTCTGGTTTTACTGTGCTCCAACTTTGAAAAATGACAAAAATTTTGCTCGTACATCGAAGCCTTTGTCTTCCAATCGTAGCTACCCTGGTCCCGAACTCAATAAACATACCATCACCTCCAAGGCTTGGTTGTACGTCCCACATTCCCATTCTCCGGTGAGCGAAACTGTAGCAGCTGAAACCAATGTGAATTCGGTACACAGTGTACAGCCGATAAATTGATTGATTGATTTCACTTCAATGGGCTTACGGTCTAGTGTTGCAGTTTCCAAAGCAAGATCGAGCTGCGGAGCTTCCTCAAAACAACCGGTGTTGATTTGAACGACATTGTCACACTGCCCCAAGGCGTCTGGTTACTCCTGCTGGCGGTGATCCGATCGCTTTTCACCAAATACCTCCCAGAAAAGCCAGAGAGTCAGATCAGGTGTTGACTGATAGCCGACTGGCTGGTGATCAAAGGAAGTAATAAACAGATAAATCGTGATGCATTATGAAACCAGATCAACAATACATAATGTTCACTCGCGGTAAACAGAATATGCAAGAATGTTTACATTCCTTGTCATAAAGGCACGTTTAAACAGTATGTCATGCCCTCCAGACAGTTAATGTAAAAACGATGGTAGCACTAAGCGGTTGTCCCAGGGGTGTGCTTATTCGTTTCATTACTTTTATGGACTCATGTATAGTCTCAGCAATAGACAACTTCAGTCGTTCTTTGAATGTGGTTTATTACGCTTATCCCGAACGGTGTTCAATCGATCTATATTTCGAGTGTCCTTGATGGGTCAGTAACATCTCACCTAAGTGCCTCGCCGACACCATTGTCTTCCGGCGTCTTAACCATATATGACACCACCAAAAATGCGTGTGCGGTACCGATGGGAGCTATTTCGTTTCCTAAGTTGAACAGGCCGTTCCAGTGAAAACAGAGTAGTGGTTACTTTGACGAACACCATTGTACTGATTTATTTTCACTGCACGTTTCATCTCTTCTGTCTGTGATGTCAGCCTATCACCCAATAGGTTCTAACGAGATTATTGTGACCTAATGAAATTTGCTGCTCATTTGTGGTTTGACAATAGCCGAATTACACCCTGGCGAATTATCATAAAGCAAGGCGAGGCGGTGAACCTTGCTTAACTGTTTGCTTTCGGCAGTAGGACATACACTGTAACGTTTTTTAGTCAACATTTCATTCTGGAAGTAAAGCCAATCTGCGATGGAAAGCCAGGAACCACGTTTGGAACCATCAGCAGTGTGTACTTTCCAAACCCTTGGAGATCTTCAAATTTTTAACGTTTTGGTTTAGTAGCTGAAAATTAACGTCGCACAGTTAGAAGAACTGATAAACTGTGTGAATTACCTGTCTTCAGACAAGAAACCATTATGCGGTGCGCGTCACGCGATGTAACGGTGACTGGTTCCTCCAATGACCACAGCTCTTATGGGAAGTCTGCGATTCGTGAGGTGGTTTCCGTTCTAAACAGGGTACTCGAGGGCTTAGTCGTAATAAAATCACAATGAAGGAAAGTGTTTCCATTGTGTCAAAAAAATTACAGTACTGGGTGGCTTGCTGATATCGTGTTTATCTACTTTAAGAAATAACCACTGATTCCTACGAAGAGAAACTCAATTCGCTTTGAGTAAAGCA